CCATGAGCCATGGCCGTTGAGCCTGCGCGTCCAGAGCCTGTACTCCACAACGGGAGAGGCCACAACAGTGAGAGGCCCACATACCGCAAAAAAATAAATAAAAATTAAAATAAAAATTAACATGGTATTTGTATGGATAGACACCCGAATAAAGGAATAGGATATAGTCAGACACACTTATGTGGAAACTCAATATAAAACAAGGATGCCACTGCAGAACATTGGAGAAAAGTCAGACTTCAGTAAACAGTTTTGGGAAAATTGGTTATCTGTGTGAGAAAAAAAAACAAAGAAATTGATCCCTACCATACAGAAAAATCAATTCCAGATGGATTAAAGACTTAAATGTAAACGTTGGAATTTTTAAGAGCAAATACGGAACAATATCCTTATGACCTTGGAGTTAAGGGAGATTTTTTAGGCAAGATACAAAAAGTAACAAAGCAGTAGAAAAGTGGGCAAAGTTATGAAGAGGCATTTTGCAGGATAAAAGGAATCACAAATGGTCATACATTTATAGAAAACTTGATCAATCTCATTAGTGACCAGGGAAATGCCAATTAAAAGCACAAGATATCTATCTATTCACCTATTCACGTTTTACCTTATAAAATAACGTAGAAATTCCTATGCTAGCTAAATATTGTAGATCAGTGACTTTTAACCATTTTTTAAATGTTTTTGTTGAAGTATAATTTACATCTAGTGAAATACACAGGTCTTAAATGTACAGTTCAGTGATTATTGATAAATGAATATGCTCATGTAATCCATAGTCCTACCAAATAACAGAACATTTTTTTAATAAATTCATTTATTTATTTATCTTTGGCTGCATTGGGTCTTCATTGCTGTGTGAGGGCATTTGCTAGTTGCGGCGAGTGGGGGCCACTTTTCATTGCAGTGTGCAGGCTTCTCATTGTGGTGGCCTCTCCTGTTAACGGAGCATGGGCTCCAGGCACGCAGGCTTCAGTAGTTGTGGCATGTGGGCTTAGTTGTGGCACACAGGCTGTAGAGTGCAGGCTCAGTAGTTGTGGCGCATGGGCCCAGTTGCTCCATGGCATATGGGATCTTCCTGGACCAGGGCTTGAACCTGTGTCCCCTGCATTGGCAGGCAGATTCCCAACCACTGTGCCACCAGGGAAGTCCAACAGAACATTTTTATCACCCCAGAAATTTTCTTATATCTCTGCCAAGTTATTCCCTGTTCTGTACCCACCTCCCAACAACACAACTACTATTCTGATTTATTTTACTTCAGATTAAGTTTGCCTGTCCTAGAACTTCATATAAATTGGATCATAGAAAATGTACTTTTTTGTGTCTGGTTCTTTGGTTTAACATAAAGTTTTTTAGATTAATCCATGTTGTTGTATGTATCAGTAGTTCATTCCTTTTATTGCTGTATAGAATTTCATTATATAGATATGCCACAAGTTGGTTATCCATTTTTCTGTTGATGGACATTTGGCTTGTTTGGAGATATTATGAATAAAGTTTGGAGATATTATGAATAAAGCTGCTATGGACAGTTTGGAGATATTATGAATAAAGCTGCTATGGACATTCTTGTACAAATTATTTTGTGACCATATGTTTTAATTTCTCTTGGATAAATAGTAGTAGAATTGCTGAACCACAGGGTAGGTGTATGTTTATAAGAAACTGTGAAACTGTTTTCCAAAATATTTTCTTCTAAAAGCTTTTTGTTTTCATTTTTTTCCTGTGATCCATCTGGAATTAATTTTTGTATGGTGAGAGGAAATAGTCAAGGTTAAATTTTTTCCATGTGGATGCCCAGTTGTTCCAGCACCACTTGTTAAAAGATTTCTTTTCTCCTGTTGAATTCATTGGGCACCTTTGTCAACAATCAATTGGCAAAGATAGATAAAGTCTGTTTCTGAGACTCTGTATTATCTTTTCGTCTATTCTTACACTAATAACCATGTAGCTTTACAATAAGTCTTGAAATCAAGTAGTGTGAATCTTCCAGCTTTGTTCTTTTTGTTGTTATTATAGATCCTTTGCACTTCTATATAAATTTTATAACCAGTGTAACATTTTCTAAAAAATAAGTCTGCTGAGATTTTGATCGGGATATTGTTAAATCTATAGATCATTTGGGGAAAAATTGATAACTCGAAAATATTGAATCTTCTGATCCATGAACATAGTATATTTCTCTATTATTTCAGTCTTCTTTACTTTCTCTTCATAATGGTTTGTAGTTTCTATGAGAGATCTTGCACATCTTTTGTTAAATTTATCTCTAAGAACTTTGTATTCTTAATGTTATTATGAGCAATATTGGACTTTTTTTTCATTTTTCTATTACTAGCATATAAAAATGTAATTGATTTTTATGTGACTTTGTATCCTGCAGCTTGCTAAATTTATTCTAGTAGTTTTCATATTTTCAAAGGATTTTCTTTATACACAATCATGTCATCTGTGAATAAAGACAGCTTTATTTCTCCTTTTCCAAATTTTTTGGCTTTTATTTCTTTTTCATACTTTATTGCTCTGGCTATTACAGCTAGTATAGTGTTAATTAGGAGTAGTAAGAACTGACATCTTTGTTTTGTTTCTGATCTTTGGGTTAGGAGTAGTAAGAACTGACATCTTTGTTTTGTTTCTGATCTTTGGGAGAAAGATGCCAGTCTTTCACTAGGATATTACCTCTAGGTTTTTCATAGTTGTTCCTTATCAAGGTGTGGAAATTACTTTCTATTCTTAGTTTGCTAAAAGCTTTTATTGTGAATGGGTATCAAATTTTGTGAATTGCTTTTTCTACATCTAGTGAAAGGGTCATATGATTTTTCTCACTCCTTCTGTTAACATGGTAAGTTACACTGTTTGATTTTCAAATGTTAACCAACATTGCATTCCTGGTATAGACCCCAATCAATCTTAAAATAGTATTCTTTTTTTACATTGCTTGATTCAGTTTGCTAATATTTTGCTTAGCTATTTTTGTGCCTTTGTCCATGAGGAATCTTGGTTTGTAATTTTCTTATAATGTCTGGTTTTGGTGTTATGGTTTTGTTGGCCTCATAAAATTAGTTGGGAAGATTCCTTCTTCTATTTTCTGGAAGACCTTGTATAAGAGTAGTATTATTTCCTCCATAAATGTTTGATAGAATTCAAATTTGATAGATGCTATCTGGGACTGGAGTTTTCTTTAAATGTAAAGTGTTTTTGAATAATGAATTCAATTTATTTGTAACAGAGATTGGGCTACTCAGATTTTTGTTTCTTCTTGTGTCTTTAGAGAAGTCCCTCTTTCATTCGTGATATTACTAAGTTGTATTTTTGCTCTTTTTAAAATTATCACTCTACCTATCACTTTATCAACTTTATTGATTTTTTCAAAAGAAAATTTTTTTAAAGTTTTATGTTCTATTTCATTGATTTCCACTTCATTTTTATTATTTCCTTCCTTCTATTTATGTAGGGTTTAATTTGCTATTTTTTCCCTACCTTTGTATGTTAGAAACTTAGATTATTGATTTTAAAACTTTTATTATTTCTTTTTAAATGTTATATCTTGTGATTAAAACTATCAAGTTCCCTGTAAACATTGCTTTACTTGCATCCCACAGATTTTGATATTTTATATTTTCATTATCTTTCAGCTACAAATATTTTTTAAGTTCTCTAGTGGTTTCTTCTTATATTCTATTGACTTCTCATACTTTTTCCCTTCTCTTTCTCCTTTTTAGCACCTGCTCTACAGGTTAAAATATGTGTTCTTAACGTACCACAGTCTGCCATGAATTAGTATTAAAACATTCACATGTAATATTAGATCCTTACCACAGTATGCTTCCACTTATCTCCCTTTGTGCTACAGTTTTCATATATTTTATTTCTACATATGTTATATAACTCACAATACATTGTTTTTGTTTCTGCTTTAAATGATCAGTTTTCCTTTAAATAAAATTAAGAAACAAGGAGATATTTATCCACATTTTTACCATTCCCAGTGCTTTTTATTTCTTTATGTAGAATCAATTTTTCATCTAGTGTCATTTCCTTTAGTCTGAAGTACTTCTTTTAAAAGTATGCTGGGAATTCTCTTAGCATGATTTTGTCTGGAAAAGGCTTTATTTCACCATCATTGGTGAAGGATAGTTTCACTGGATATAGAATTCTAGTTGATGCTTTTTTTCTTTTAGCACATTAAAGCTGTTCTCTCAATTGTCCTCTGGATTTCATAGTTTCTAATGAGAATTGTTATCTTCATTCCTCTGTGCATAATGTGTTACTTCTCAGGCTGCTTTTTTTTCCTTTTATCACTGGTTTTCCACCATTTGATAATGTGCCCAAATGGGGTTTTCTTTGTATTTATTCTGCTTGGGTTACTTTTTGTTTGTTTGTTTTAGATTCTTGAATATGTTAGTTAATATTTTTCATCAAAATTGGAACATTTTTAGCCATTATCCTTCAAATAATTATCCTTGTCTGACTTCTCTCTCCTCTCATTCTATAAGTCCAATTGAATGTTAGACCACAGGTCACCAAGACTCTGTTTATTGGTTGTTTCAGGTTTTTGTTTTTTAATAGACTATTTTTTTAGAGCAGTTTTAAGTTAATAAAAGATAGTTCTCTGTATGTTTTATTCCTCTGATAGTTACTTTGCTATGTTATAGTTAGAGAGGGGGTAAATCAGTGACTGGTTTGGTCACCTTGTGAATAACACCTTTATTTATTTAATACACGTTTCACTGATGATGTTTTCCATAGTAAGAAATACTATATAAAGATACATAGAAGATTTTGTTCCATTGATCTAATATCTTTTTTTACACATTATATTTGGTTTTTAAAAGTATTTTATTTTCTTGTTTTTTGCTCATAAGCACCTAAAGTATGTACATGTATGTGCGTGTTTCTTATGACAGATTTATATTATACTTTGAATTCTTAGAAATTGTATTACTCTTGAGCCATTGGCATCACTTGCCAAACTTAGGTTTTGTTTTTTTCCTTTCCAGGCCCAGCTTCAAAGGGAAAAAGAACAGGATCACATGAAGCTGCAAGCAAAACTTGAAAAGCTTGATGTCTTAGAAAAAGAATGTTTTAAACTTAAAACAACTCAAAAAACTGCTGAGGTAAGCTTCTACTTGTTTCTTTGAAGTGGTGATGCCAGGAATAAATCTTTAGTGTTAAGCATAATTACACTGTATGTGAATATGCAGTAAAATTAGATTCGTAAAACTTCATTAACAACTTTTAGTAATCCAGATATGAATTCCTGCCTATAGAGATGAAAAGTTAATATATTCTATCACAGCATGAATGAGCTTGCCTTTTGATGTGAAATTGTAGTTTTGGTTTCTTCTGCTGTAGTTTTGGTTTCTTCTGCAATGGCAGAACATTTTCATTTGTTAAGTAATTTACCTAAAGGATATTGAAAAGATTGCCTTTCACCACTTACAATTAAGTTAAGCCTATTCTAGATCCTGTCCTGAAATACCCTCTCCTTTTCCACCCAAATCCTATCCATTTCATAGGACTTTCTCCCAGTCCTGCTTCCTCTGTGAAGCCTTCCTTGAGTTTTCCAACACTCAGGAAGCTCACCCTTTGAAATAGTACTGTCTTCCTATTCTAAACTACACCATGGAGATAAGATGAAATACTTACGTGTATAAGGTTATACAGTATATACATGGTATGAGTCAAATCATATCATTTCATGTATATTACTGTTGTTTCCCTAAGTACAGCATAAATAGACGTTTGTTGTAATTTGTCTATATTTTGAATGAAACATTGAGACCCAAGACTATAATTGTTTGACGTTCTAGACCTTTAAAACCTCCCAAATTTTCATTATTATGATTTTGTTGATGAAAGTTAAAAGAGCCTATGCATATACATTCTTTGCTTTTCCTTTGTTCTTCTTGTATATAATAGCAGGTAAAGAAGCATAGGAAGAAAGCCAAGAAAAATTTAGCATCTTTTGCCATTACTTTTTCTTACTTTCTGCTTTAATTTACCAAACTATCAAGAATCAATACCCTAAGGACCCTATTTGGAAAAGGAATATAAGATATTTGGCTTTAGTTTTTGTATAATAATCCTAGATTTTTTATTCTTTTGCAGGGCAAGATTAAACATTTAGAGGAAAAACTAAAGGAAGAAGAACATCAGCGTAAGCTCTTTCAAGACAAAGCTTCTCAGGTAAATAGAGCACTATATCATCTATCACATTAAAATCATGTACGTTTTATTGTACTTTATTAACTGAAGCCTGTATTCTAGACTCTAATTTCTGCTTCCTAGCTTGTTATTTTTTGTCTTATTTTGCTATAATACTGAAGTTCTCAATAAGTCAGCCAGTATATTTATATACTTGGATGTATTGCCAAGAGATCTTTTGGTCTTTTGAAATTCTGACAAACATATATATATTCTCAGTTGAAACAATTCCTGCTATAGATTGTTTTCAGTTTGAGATAAATAAAATAATTCATTCTCTTAAAAACAGAAAATGATTGTAATTACCAGTAGACCTGGTAACTTTTTCACACAAAAAATAGTGTTTGAGGTTTTCTTTTCTTCCTCAAAAAACATTTTGTCTTTATAAATTGAGATCTGATCCTCATTATAATGTTTTTGAAGAAGAAGGAACTTGTTAAAAATCAATTTAATACATTTTTTTTCAATATTGTAGCTTCAAACTGGACTTGAAATCAGTAGAATTTTGATGTCTTCCATATCAAATCCAAAGCGCTCCAAGGAAAAGAAGAAATCTTCAAAGGTATACAAACACTTTATTCTTATCTTGCTAATACTTATTTCTTGCTAATACTTATTTCTTCACCCTTTTAATATTTATACCTATCCATTTCCAAAAAAATTTGAAAAGATTTATAATACAAGACAATGCTTTGAAATGGGCATAAAAACATGAGTCAAGTAATGATGGTTTGGGGTGTGAGGACAGAAAATTCCATAAAACCTAGGTTAAAGAAAGTAACAGCAGTTGAGTGCAAAACCTAGCTCTGAGTTTTCTTAACAGCCAAAGCAAAAAGGAGCATATAATAGGCAGTACATCTATCTTTGTGAAATAACAATAAGCCTTCCAGTTTTTCTAGAAAGACAAACATTTTCCTAGTACTAAACTGTTAGAGAAATGTACTTTGGATACTTTACGAAAGAGGCAGTAAACAACACAATAGATACTGACAAGCACAATAGATCCTGGAAGCAGTTTTATATAATATATGCACAATAAAAAGACAAAGATACAGTATTAAATTATATTGTATTATAAATTATAGTCATTTCTCTAGGTAAATTATTTATTTTTTTCTGTGCTCATAGCCTTTGGATTTGCCTAAAAATAAAGATTGGGGAAGTACTTTATAGATTTACCAATAATATTTTGTTTAGATGAGTTGATGTTTGGGTTTATTATATTAAACTTTCTTATTTATAATGGTAAGAAAGAAAATGTTAATCCCTTTTAATCTCATGATTCTGAAATTGTAGTTTTGATGACCATCATTACTGTTTACTCAATATGCATGTAGTGTTTGTGTGTGTTCTTTGCTGTGGGAACCAAGCATGCTATTTGCAATTTCTGGCCACTGCCATAGGCTCACCCTATGGATACGATAATGGAGGAAACGTTATACTTAACTTTAGCTAGTCATTTATTCCATAAATAAGAGTTACTATTTAATAGTTTGGCTGCATTTTTCACAGATTTTTTCTTTCAAAGAATTTGCAAAATACGGTAATGAAAAACATTTTCCCAATGCAATTTATGTTGATTTTTTAGCTTATTTCCTTCCTCAAGTATGTTTTCTTTCTTGTCTCTACAGGAAGATTAGAAGCTGCAAAGCCAAATAGAAAATCACTATAAGTAATTTGCAAGTGGAAAAATTATTGACTTAATTTTGTATTTGTGTTTTATGGCATCCTTTGATGAGTTAGTGGAAAAAAAATTTTAATAAGGTACAGGGAGAAACAAGGTAAAAGAAATGAAGGAAAGAAAAGGTAGCTGCTGGAAGAAAAGAAAAAGTAATTAACAGCAAAATCACTTTTAAAAAGTAGTTAGTTCAAGTCCCAAGTTCATAGGATCTGCCTGTAATAATGCCTCCCTTTAAAGATGGCAGGGACACTTAGTTGCTTGCTGAAGGTAGGATCTGATTTTGAGACCTCTATGAGAGTCCTGCTTGTCTCACTGACACTCCATATCCTGAATGTAGTTCATTCAATTCATACATCTTGATTTACATAGACTAGTACCTTTAGGTAGTAAAAAGATAAATAACACAGGAATTTACAGAGAGGCAGATAAATATACAAATATAAGACAGAGTATAATAAAAACTTAATGGAGGTATAAACAAAATACTGTGGTGCTGTATAGATAAAGAATATGTGAAGGGGTCATGCAAGAAGCAGCATTAAAGGCAGCCTTGGAAAATTAGTAAGTATTGATAGAGATGAAGAGAAGTGTTTTACAGTCTGAGAGTATAGTTGGTTTTTCCACGAAACGATAAGTAATTGTCCAGTACTGGGTGTGAGATGGTGTCATATGAGACTGAAATTGAAAATATAGCTTGAGGTGAGATTATGACTGATCTTCAATGCCATGTTAAGAATTTGAACTTTTATTCCTATAAGTCATTGGGAACCACTGAAGGCTTGTAGGCAAATGATTAGAGCTATACTTCTAGATGGTAAGCGACAACAGTATAAGGTGAGCTTGGAAGTAAAGAATCAGGCTGTTTGAATGTGGTAAGCAAGATGATGGAAGCCTTTCCTGTGATGTTTTCATTATTCTCTTAAAAGGTTAGACTGTAATCAATCAGAGATCTCATCCAATATAGTAACTAAAAGAATTAAATTTCTTTTACTCTTAATTATAACTGCTTGAAATAGCCTTAGACCAGACCATTGTTTTCCATTACTTGAAATTACCATTCCTGAAGTACAGAGGTTGAATGATTGTCCAGGGTCACCAAGCAACTCTGAGTGAATAAGAACTGACTCACAAACTTGTGATTTCTCTACCTCTAAGCCATTTTATTTTTTTAATTTTCAGAAAAAAAAATTGAATGTTTATAATAGTTAAGATATCTAAATTTTCATTTAGAGTTGGGAATATTTTGTTTTCATTATGGAATATGCTCAGTTTATTGATTATTCTCTTGGTGAAGTGTTAACTAGAGTGACCAATTCACCCCAGTTTGCCTGTGACTTTCCTGGTTTTAGTACTGAAAATCCTGTATCATGGGCAAATTGAGACAATTGGTCACCCTAGTTCAATCCTTCCTACAAAAATAGTGAAATCATTTACTTTTAAGAATGTAGTTCAGCAGGGCTTTCCTGGTGGCGCAGCGGTTGAGAGTCCGCCTGCCGATGCAGGGGACACGGGTTCGTGCCCCGGTCCGGGAAGATCCCACATGCCGCGGAGCGGCTGGGCCCGTGAGCCATGGCCGCTGAGCCTGCGCGTCCGGAGCCTGTGCTTCGCAACGGGAGAGGCCACAGCAGTGAGAGGCCCACGTACCGCAAAAAAAAAAAAAAAAAAGAATGTAGTTCAGCAGTGTCTTTTTAAAAATGTTTCATGAAGGAGTATATATAACAAAAAATGTCTGCTCGAAGGATAATAATGAAATTAGCACTTGGTATACTGACCACCCAGCTTAAGAAATAGAACATTACCAGCACTGTTAAGCCCCAGCATATATCTCTCCTAAATTGTATTCCCTCCGTCCAAGGATTAACCACAATTCTGATTTTGCTTTTATCATCCTCTGGCTTTAAAAAAAAAAATTACTTTGCCAAATAAGTATTCCTAAGAAATACATGTTTTAGGGTTATGCTTTGAACTTTATGTAAATGAACTTATTCTGTTCGTGTTCTTTAGCAGCTTTCTTTTTCCACTCAGCATTAAGTTTATGAGATTCTTCCAATTGATGCATATACCTATGGTTCGCTGCTTTTTATTGCTAAAAATACTTTTTTCCTTTCTCCTTTCAGTGATCATTTGGTTTGTTTCTCACTTTTTGTTATTATAAAAAACACTGTTAAGAACTTTCTTGTACATACCTCTTGGTGCATGTGTTCAGGAGTTTCTCTAAGATGCTGGGCCATAAGTGTTATGCACCTTAACTTTACGAGATAATGTCCAAAGTGATTGGACCAGTTTATGTTCCAATCAGCAGTTACCATTGTTCCATATCCTAACCATAAGTGTCTATTTTTGTTTTTCACTTTTTATTTTGAAAAATTATATATTCACAGGAGATAACAAAAAAATATAAAGGGAGGTCCCATGTATCTTCAACCAGTTTTCCCCAATGGTAACATCTTTCATAAATATAGTATAAAGTCCAGGAAATTGAAATTGGTACAATACACAGAACTTATGGAGATTTCAATAGTTTTTTATTCACTTAGTTGTGTGTGTATATGTATGTGTATGTGTGAGTATATGTAGTTTTATATAGTTTTATCACATGTGTATATTCATGTAACCATCACCACAATGAAGATACAGCACTATTCCACCTCTATAAGCTTTCTTCATTCCATTCCTTTATAGTTACACATCATCCTGCTCCCTAACCCTTAGCATTTTCTAATCTGTTTACCATCTCTATAATTTTATTTCATGAATGCTATATAAATATAATCATACAGTATGTAACCTTTTTTAAAAAAAATTTATTTATTTTTGACTGCGTTGGGTCTTCGTTGCTGCATGTGGGCTTTTCTCTAGTTGCGTCTAGTGGGGGCTACTCTTCATTGTGGTGTGGGGGCTTGTTGCTGTGGCTTCTCTTGTTGAGGAACATGGGCTCTAGGCACACGGGCTTCATTGTGGCACGTGGGCTCAGTAGTTGTGGCGCACGGACTTAGTTGCTCCGCGGCATATGGGATCTTCCGTGACCAGGGCTCGAACCCATGTCCCCTGCATTGGCAGGTGGATTCTTAACCACTGCACCACCACGGAAGCCCAGTATGTAACCTTTTGAGAGGCTTTTTTTGCTCAGCCAATTCCCTTGCAATCCACCCAAGTATTAATACATTTTTAAAAGTTTCTGTGTAGTATTCCATGTTATGGATGTGCCACAGTTTAACCATTTACCTATTGAAGGATATTTGGATTGTTTTCAGTTTTAGGCTATCACAAATAAAGCAGTTATAAACATTTGTATACGGGTTTTTGTGTGAACATAAGTTTTCATTTTTCTGGGATAAATGTCTAAAAGTGCAATTGCTAAATCATATGATAACTACATGTTTAGTTTTATAAGAAACTTCCAAACTGTCTTCCAAAGTGGCTGCATTATTTTGTGCATATGAGCGATCTGGTTTCTCCACATCCTTGCCAGCATTTGGTGGTGTCACTTTTTTTTTTTGGCTGTTCTAATAGGTGTATAGTGATGTTTCATTGTAACTTGCATTTTCCTAATGGCTAATAATGTTGCATTTGATAAATGTCTTTTTAAATATTTTTTGTTTACTTTTTCCCTTGTCAATATTTAGAAAAGTAAATGTTTAAAGAGAGGACCACCTCAGCAAATTTATTCAAAATTTGGATCACTGCCTATTGTGGCTGAGAAGGTGAGAGGGGGAAAAATGAGGATACTTGGTCAGATAAACTCAGGCTTTGTTGTAAGTGCTATTTAAATGCCATCAGTTATTTAAAATCGTTCTCGGCTATTTCTTCCCCGCCCCCCCGAAGTCTGCCAGTGCAGGCCATTCCAGGAATGCAAGTACCCAAAACCTGCAGACAGTGCAACATTACAGGCCACATATCCTTCAGAAACTGGCTGAAGTTTCTGAACCTAGATGTCTCTACAAGCCTTCTAAATCAACTTCTCAATGTGAAGCTGTACCTTCTGACTCAGAAAAGTCCATTTCCATTTGTAACAATTTGTCTGAACTTTTGATGGCAATGCAAGATGAGCTGGACCAAATGACTATGTAAGTATTTATCAGAAGAAGTAGCAAGATATTTAGGTATCTTTTTTTCTTCTCAGTCTTTCAAACAATGCCACTTATAAATTCTTAAAAGTCTTACTTAGCCATTTGGATTTATTTTGATCTGCAGATTTGTTGTCATTGATTTTTCATTATATTTTTTGTATTTAAATTGCATTTTAATTATCTATGTGTAATTACTACTTTTTCCAATTTAAAGTGTTTCTGTATTCCCAAGATCTGAACTGACAGACAGATATTTCTGTCATTCTAACAAATGGAGTCTGGTGACCTTAAATTGTAACGCACAAATACTTTTATAAGAAAGATTCTCCATTTGTTTTTTATAATCTTTTTAGTTAAATGAATGATTTCATTAGACAAATAGGAAAGCAATTTCTTGTTTTAGATTCTGGCTGGTCTGCATTACAAGTTTGAAGCATCCATAGTAAACAATATTCTGTATGGGATATATATTTTAAGCTTCAAGTTTAAATATATATTCAACAAAAATTCCAGAAAATATGTGATTTGGGCGGCCAGCTAGTTGAACTAAGACCTCTGTAGAAGATATAACTAGTTCTATTGGCAGTGTTTCTTTGAGTAGCCTATCCCAAAATCTAGGGATTTCTCAGGCAAATACTTCTATAGCTGGAATTCTTCCACAGATTCTACATTAAGAATTCCAAACTTGGAATGAAAAAGAGTCCCTTAATGCCTCTAGCTAAGGACATCAGAATATTTTACTACATTTAACTGTAAACATCAAGGATTCAGACCTTTTTTTTAAGATTCTTTAAGGTCCTAAGTCTAATATATTTCTAAATATATCTAATCTCAAATCATAAGAGCCTGTTTATAATTACCATAGATTTAATTTGATAACCCTACAGAAAGAGACTATCTTTGAAGGTTAATATTTAACTCTGATTAAAATTTATGATTGAACAGAATATTGCCTAATTGTGACAAAGACATATACTATAAACTGTAATAGTGCTTGATATTTGCTTTTCTTTCATAGGGAGTACCAAGACCTGCTGAATCAAATGAAAGAAGCTGAAAGCCAATCAGTCTGTGAAAACATAGAATGTGAACTAGAACATTTAGTCAAGAAAATGGAAATTAAAGGAGAACAAATTTCTAAACTAATGAAGCATCAAGACAATGTAAGAGGCTTTAGTAAAAGATTTTAATGAAAAGATAATGTATCTGGATTCAGTGTTATACCTCTGTCTGACCTTCCAAATTTGAGGCCTGTATGTATGGCTTAGAGAAAAGATGATAGATAGGAATCCCTTAGGCTTATTATAGAGTCATCTGTCCATTGAAATAACATGGCCTCCTATGTAACTCTCCAAGATAATACAAAGAAAAGGAAACAAGGAAGTTTAGTTATGGGAAATTCCCTGGTGGTCCAGTGGTTAGGGCTCGGCCCGTTCATTGCTGGGGCCCAGGTTCAATCCCTGGTTGGGGAACTAAGATACTGCAAGCCTCATGGTGTGGCCAAAAAAAGAAAAGAAAAGAAAGTTTAGTTATGTATTCAAAAATAAGTTTGGGAAAATTAAGAGATAGGCTAGATTTGCTTTACAGCTCTCCCAGTTATCCTTTTAGCATTCTTTCCCCTTATCCCTCTCTTCCCTAATGCCTTAATGAAGCCCCTTATGTCAACAGGTGTCTAATGCATATATAAACCTGGCTTCTGAAGCAGTACCCCAACTCTAAAACTGCTATTTCCAGTTTCCCAGAACAAGCTATGCTGTGTTCCATTCCCTGGGGACCTGTGCTCACCTAGCTCTAGAGGGGTGATGAGGGGGACTCTATCCTTGTGTGTAAATTCTTAACAGCTAAGAATGGCATAACAGTTTTAATATTTTAATGAAAAAATCATGGAATATTATACTTTATCCCAAGACAATGACTCCATTCTTAGTACGATTATGCTACTGGAACAGAAAGCAGAGAAAATCTTTCCAGTAACCCTCAGGTCATATCATGTAGCTATCTGCCTGTGGAATAATCAGCATTCATATAAGTTGGTGATATATTAACCTCACAATTAAGCCTTCCCCACTTTTATAGGAAAGTAATAAAGAATGCAGAATTTTACTGCCTTTACTCTTCTATGGCCAATAAGGAAAGAAAGAAGGAAATGAAATTTTGAAGCAAACATTTTCACTTTACTGGCTTTTAAGTCTATAGTAAGTAAATTTTTTGTATGATTGTGTTAGGGTGAAGATTATATAACTTGTATACTTTCTTAGAATCACACAGGAGAAACTTGAAAGGAATAGAAGAATAGTCTTTTTTTTTTAATTTAGGAAGTGTGTACATAAATAATATTTTGAAAATATTATTTATATTCCATAATAACTATAGCAGTATAAAATTTCAAGCATTTTTAGACAAATAGAACACCAGATACTTAGCCAATGCCTAGACCAGCTCTACAAATTAGGCTGTGCTTAAGTGAAATAGATTAAGTAATGGGGGGAATTCCCTGGCGGTCCAGTGGTTAGGATTCTGCGCTTCCACTGCAGGGGGCACAGGTTGGATCCATGATTGGGGAGCTAAGCCGTGTGGCCTGGCCAAAATAAATAAATTAATTTAATTAAATAAATATTTAAAAATTTTAAAAAGATTGAGTAATGGACTGGACTTTGAAGAAATAGGTTTTGACTAGTTTATAAGTTTTGTTTTGTTTAATTCTGTCTACCCAATCATTACTAGATACTCCTCAATGAGATAAAGTTATTCCTTTGCCTTTTTTTTTTAAACTGGCATTCAGTAGTACTTTAAATTCATGAATACTTAAAATTAAAAAGAAATATATATATATAGACTCTACAAACTTGATGTCCATTCCTAGCACCAAATCTTCGCTTTGTTGTTAATGTCACCTGAAAGGTCCTTCTCTCACCTCCCTGTTCTCCAGATTTTTCCCATTTCATATCTTACATAAACATTCCTTCCTCTCAGCTTCTCCAGCCCACATTGATCTTGTCCTACTTTTAGCCTTCTCAGATATATACTTTTTGTCCTACTCAAAGTTATTGTGGCTTGAATTATTCTCTAGTTGTCACATATATGCTTTGATTTCACTAATAAGAGCAGTAAACTCCTTGAAAGCAAAGATTGTTTTATTCATTATATTTCTATCTAACTAGCACAGTGTTAGGCATGTAATAGGTATTCAATAAATAAAGACTTAACAAACTTTTTAATTTCACGTAATCTTTAAACCATCAATCCAATCCATCTACTGTAAGGTATATTTTAAGTATATTTTTCACTAAAATGTTAGATTTTTTTCTCTCCAGGTCCGCAAACTGCAGCAAAAAGTTCAGAATTTGAAGATAAGTGAAGCTTCAGCTATTCAGAAAGAAGATAGCAACTGTAAAGGATCAAAGAACATAAAAAATAGCCCCAGAAAATGTTTGCTAACTAACTCTCCTCAAAATAACAGCAACTTTCGTCCAATACGAGTCCATAATCTTCAAATGAAATTGAGAAGAGATGATATCATGTGGGAACAGTAACACAGTAACAAAACTGTCACCTTAAATGAACTTTGTCAGTGAGATCTTGAACTATCTAAAGTGGTTTTAATTTAATATACCTTTATGAAATTTTGAATTATGTTTCTAGCCTCTATAAAGTGTCAAATTGTAGTATTTTAAAATTAGTGCCTAATGACCTCCTAAGAGCCCCAAATAATAAATGATTGCTTTCTTGTTTTTCTTATTGACTGAAGTACCTAATCTTGTGTTAGAAACATTGTTCACTTTGCAGATACCTTAAGATAAATTTAAAAAATTATACTGGACTGATGATATTTAAAACAGTTAAATTTGAGATACAAGTGCCATAACACTTTTTCATTTAGTAGGCTTGGAACCTTAAGAACCAATATAAAATTAACAGAGTATGGAAAGGTCTTTTAACTTTCCTGGTGCTTCCTCCCTATCTTGTTTTAGAGCTGGGAAATGTTTTTCTTTTTTGGAAAGGGAAAAGCTTTGGGAAGAGGCCTTTAGCCCAAGTTTTTATGTGACAATTACAAATAGGAACCCATAGTTACTTAATTTTTAGATGACAATAACTCAGCTGTGGAAGCCTTCCTCTGCTATTCCCATTCTCTTTTACAAATCTAGCTTTGTTTTTTTTGATCTTACTCCTTTGTAACTATATTTTTGATATTTTGATTAGTGGTGCCATAAGAGATTTCTTTGTACATATATGCTTTATAATAAATTTACACTTGTTGACCTATCTTTCCAGAAGCCTATGGAAACTAGTACAACTCTTCTGAACTTATTTGGTTTCTCATCAGAATCCTTTGGGGCAACTAGAGAACTGGAGTCATCAACTGAAGTAGAACTAGAAGACTGACAGAAAAGGCATAACAGAAGTGAGGAACTCAGAAGATAGGGTAGCAGTTTAAGAGATGGTGATTCCAAAGGAATTGGGAGGTACATCTTTATCTACAGCTGAGGGGATGTTCAAGCTATAGGTGTGAAAGAATAAAAAGATCAACATCTTGGGGAGCTAGGAAAAGCAATTTTTTAAAAGACAGTCCTTATATCCTCCTAGGAAATCCCAAAAAGTGTGTGTAGGAGAAAGAGGGTAATTGTGGACCCTCTGTTGGGGGAGGAGGAAAACTGTGATTCAGTCTCATTGAGAGAAGAGGTGCTGTTAGAAGACCTTTCCATACCTGAAGTGGGGAGATGACTGAAAATCGGCACATTTATACTTGGAATTGTCCTTGAAAGCAACTAATGGCTGAGATAAAAGTTTCTCTCCCTTTGGTTCAAATAGTACATTTGTCCTTCACCCACTTTCACTCCCTCTCCCTTTACAGCACCTTCAGCCCCAGAGATGTCACAGACTGCTTCGTCTAAACTCAGTTTCATCACCTTACCTATTTTTCAGCTTTGCCTTTTCTCCTCAAGAATGTGAGTGCTCGGTGCTTTGTGTCCACCTAGGGGGGTGGGATAGGGAGGGTGGGAAGGAGACGCAAGAGGGAGGAGATATGGGGATGTATGTATGCATATAGCTGATTCACTTTGTTACACAGCAGAAACTAACACACCATTGTAAAGCAATTATACTCCAATATAAATGTTAAAAAAAACCAAAACCTAAAACTCCAACAGAAGGTGAAACTAATTAACCAGAAGTGAATCAAATAGAGAACTTGAGAATGAGAAAGCAGTGGTAAAGTTGTTCTAGTTAGCATAAGTTTTGTTTTAATAATAATAATCACCATCATCTAAAATAAAATCTTTGGAAACTGTGGTTGTAGAACAGAGGTTAAAATTGACATTTCTTCAGGTTATTTCCATCATTATCTCAGAGTTTCATCTTGTTTCACGGTCTTCCTTTTTTTCCTTATTTTCCTAACCATTGTCCTTCCCTTTGAAAGCCATGTGCCGAGATAATCTATCCAAGATCATATTTGCTTAGTTCCTTCAAAGACCCTTTCCTCTCTCTGGTATTAGTCATTCAATTTCCTGATTTTACCCTTAATTTTGATTCATGAACTGCACCTTCTCAGCAATCTTGGCTTCATACTAACTGAATCGTGGCTGTCTTCTATGATACTGTTTTCTACTGAAATCTTGATTCTTTACATAAGGAGACATACATTTTCTAAGTGTTAACTTCTGATTTCCTTCATCTGTTTAAAGAATAATATTAGAACATTGAATAAACTACTTTGAATGCTTGCTTAATATATTCGTCATTTTATGTATAAAAACATAAATGATAATTGCTAAGACAGCCTTATACAATTAATTTGAAGTTACTTACACATTTTAAAAAAAAATCTAACGTTGGATTAAGGTTTTGCATGTGTTCAAGTTTGGAAAGACTTGAACTTAACTCCATTAGATGATGTCTCCTTTTGTGAATCCAATTCCACTATTCTATATACATTCTTCAGGAATTTCCTCTCTTTTTTCTAGAGATCTGTTCATCCAGGTCTCCTCTTCACTGCTTTAAAAAAAAAAAAACTGATAAAAAATGGCAGATATGCACACTTGCTGCTGTTGACACTTTGCTCTGTATCTCGTTCTAATTTCCTGCCACCAACTCCCAGACTGATCTATATCTTGGCAATTCCCTGTGACAATCTGTTCACAGTACCATTTCATTTACTGTTTTAAAGATAAAGTCATTATTGTTACATCCTGAATAACAGTAACAAATGACCTTTCACACCTACTAAAACAATGACTTGATGATTACTGATACATTTTTCAATCAGGACTACAGCAAACGACCCTGATGCATGTTATAAAAGTAGTAAAATTAGGGCTTCCCTGGTGGCGCAGTGGTTGAGAGTCTGCCTGCCGATGCAGGGGACATGGGTTCGTGCTCCGGTCCGGGAAGATCCCACATGCCACGGAGTGGCTGGGCCCGTGAGCCATGGCCGCTGAGCCTGCGCATCCGGAGCCTATGCTCCGCAACGGGAGAGGCCACAACAGTGAGAGGCCCGCGTACCGCAAAAAAAAAAAAAAATAGTAAAATTAATTCAAAGGTTTGAAGATTTTTCCCTTTCCCCTTCTTCCCTTCCTATTCCAGAGATACTTCAGCTTTACTGCTAGACTGGCTGCTTTGTTAATGTCATCAAATAAGGCAAAGAGCAGACATATGCACATTGTTGTTTAACATACCACCTGAATCAGGAATACAGTAGTCCAGAATATTTTGAAACATATTTCAGGGCTTTTTCCAGCCGATCACCTCACCCAAACAATGATCCATTCCTCCCATTTCTGAGTGCCTGGGAGCAGTTGCCTTTTCAGATTTGGAGGGGACTTGGGTAGCATAAGATAAATTAGATTCTTAGTTTTGTATATTTGGCTTCTTTTTCCCTCTTGTCAGTATTCCACTTAAGCTGTTTCATATTGTGCACCTTTCTTCCCTTCTCACCAAAGGGCTGACCTCAGGAGACAGAAAAGAGCAGGCCTTGTTGTAGCTAATTAGAGAGGGTAGATACCTGGGACACTGGCTGGCTACCAGCATCACAGTAACTCTTGAAGATCTTTGCATTTAACAAACATTTGCCAAACATTTTATTATGTACAGGGCTCTGTACTAAGTTCACTGTTTTTTTGTTGTTGTAGGTTATTTTTGTTTGTTTTTCATTTGTTTTTTCCTTCTTGAGAATATGTCTAACAGCTTGAGGTCTTTATATTAGTAAGTCATATAACTTTAGTGAATCATAATCATAAATCCTAGAAAACTATGTACTAGGCCAATTTAAGCCTGATATTTGATATTTAATATGGGAGCTAATTTCTTTGTTTCCTTTCTTACAAGATTATGTATATATATATATAAATTATAAATATATATTTATATATTATATATATATATTTACAGTACACACACACACACACACCCTCTATATCTGCTTACAGTGCTCATTCGCAATGTGTTAACCTTCAGTCTTAATTTACAAAGCAAACATCTCAAATCATCAATAATAAAATGTGCTGGTGTTCAGTAATAATGTATAAATTTCATTTTTTTCTTTTTCTATATAAAAAGAAAATAAAATTCAATTATGCTTTAAAAAAAAACAAAAAAAGAATGTGAGTGCTGTAGTTTATACTTAGCAAAAAACTCACCAGGACTATTAATGCAGCCCTATCTTTCTGTGCCTTTGTTTTCTATGCACTTAGGACAATGGCCGGACAGATTTATCAGTATTGAAGTCATTACTTTTGGAAATGTATTACTAAAACAAATTACCATAAGAAATTAAATTCATTTAAGGAACACTTGAATATTTCAATTAAGAATTGAGACATTTCTTGCAAAATCAGTGTAGTGTAGTAGAAAAAAACATAGATTTCAGAATTAGGAGACTTGGGTTCATGTTGTGATTCTGCCACTTAGTAGTTTGGGCGATCAGATAACTTTTTGGAGCCTCCATTTCTTACTTGTAAAGGTGGGATTATATTACTACCTACTTCATAGGATTGTTGTGAGATTAAATGAAATAACATGTCAAAGCACCCAGCAGAAGTGTTGGCACTGAATAAAAACTCAATAAATGTTAGATCTGAGTAGCCAAAAAAAAAGAAAAAATTGTCGTAGAACCTAAGTTTGCATGGGTTAAAGCCTGAAAGCAAGAGCCAAAAGGTACTCTTCAACAAAGTGAGAATATTCTAATTTAGTTTTTTTTTTTTTCTTTTTCTATGTGCCTGGGAGGAAATTGCTTTGGCTTGTTTCCTGGCTCAGGTTTCTAGTGGGGGGTGGGTAAAGAATATAGTCCTACTATGGTGCAGAAATACATAATCACACACAGCAACTTGGTTTGGAGTTTGTGTTGTTGGGGTGACATTTATTAGGAAAGACAATAAGGAATGGTCTCTCGTTGCTTGATCACAATTACTGAACTCAAAATGTATCTCTGCTCACAGACTGCTGCTTGCCTTTGACTCCTCAGGGGGTGGAGCAAATGATTTCCTTCCTGGATGGGGCAGTCTATGGTCAGTGTACAAGAGTTGCTGTAGCAACCCCGCAGCTGTGCTCTGCCTAGCAGAAACTCGGTAGGATATCATAGATTTTGTTCACTTAAGTAAAAACAGGTTTGTTTGTTTTTTATTTAATCAGAAATTGAAAAAAATGAACTTGGAACTTTTTAGCCAAGACAGGTCTCAACTTTGATGAAACTGTGAAACTAGAAAGTTTGAGTGTCTGAAGCGGGAGGTATTGTGACTATTCTAATCCTGGAAATAGGAGCTGGGATCTTGAATTAACTGTACTTGTGTGGGTCATTGGCAACATAGCCATTTTTATCAGGTTGTAGCTAAAGGTAGGAGGGTTGGAGGGAAATGCTCAGTTTTTAGCAGTATAAGATTAAAGAAGGAGATACTTAATACAGTGGGCTAACTGGCTAGGATGGTGTGCTTGAAAATTATTTCTGAGTTTTTTGTATAGCCTTCTTACTTTAAAAATAAAATTTTAACTATAAAGTAGTATTCTTAACCCATGATAAAACATCAAAAGTTAAATTAAAATTTGACTTGTGAGACATCAAACTCAGGGGAAAAGGTGGGTTGGTCATGCGCAATGGAAGGAGTGCTCACTGTGGCCAAAAATGCACCAGCTGCCATTGTTGGTGTAGAGTAAATAGTGAAACTCCTAATGGGGTTTCCTGGAACTCTATTCAGCTGTAACTAAAGCTGTACCTACGGAGAACATTTAATTGTATGTGAAGTTCAGATAAGTATAAGCCGACTCCCAGATGTACA